CCTCTAGCCGCCGCAGCCTGGAAGGGCCGGGGAGGGGGGTGCTCTAAACAGGTAAATATAAATCTTGCCTTATCTGACTCCCGCGGGCACTTCCCCAAATTCAACCCAGAGTAAAGATGGATCATGTGAGAGGGACCGAGAGGTTTATGGAGCCGAGCTCCCGCGGCTGTAAATCACCCAGCGCTCTCGGATATAAAGCGCCTGTCCAGCCCGGTGTGGGAGAGAGGAGACGTTCGCCAACCCTTGAGCCCCAACTCTGCGCGAGCTCCGGGGCCACTCAGGTGCGTGCCCTGGGCAGGCGGACGGACAGTGGGATTTAGGAAGCGGCTCCGACGGCAGCCTCCGCCTCTCCCCTTCCGCGCGGAGGCTCACAGGTGCAGGCTGCGGGTCTCCTCTCTGCCTTCCCCAGCGCTTCCCCCAGCACCGGGTTAGGATCTCCCGAGCCCCATATCTAGAGATAAGATGGGGACGGGAAAGCCCTCGGAATTGAGCTGGGGTCCGTTGCTCTCCTCTCTCGCAGTGACCCCCTGCAGCCTCCTCAGTCGCCCCCACCATGTCGGAGGCGTTGGCCCTGGGCCCCAAGGAGAGCGCGCCGGGGCCGCGGGCGGCCCCCCGCGAGGTGTGGAAGAAGGGCGGCCGCCTGCTGTCGGTGCTGCTGGCCGTCAACGTGCTGTTGCTCGCCTGCACGCTCATCAGCGGGGGCGCCTTCAACAAGGTGGCCGTGTACGACACCGACGTGTTCGCGCTGCTCACCACCATGATGCTGCTGGCCTCGCTCTGGATCCTCTTCTACCTCCTCCGCACGGCGCGCTGCCCCAACGCGGTGCCCTACATGGACGCCCACGCCGGACCCATTTGGCTCCGAGGTGCCTGGGGGAGGTGGGAGCAGAGGGGAGCTGCAGGGTGGGGCTCCTGGAGGACGTGCGGAGGGAGTGAGAAGTTCCCTGGGCAGAGCTGTGTGTGACTGAGGGAGAGGGAGGAGGCTGCTGTGGAAAGAAAGTGGGGGGAGGTCCTGGAGTTGGTGGGAATAGAGGGAGGGACGGGGTGGCTTCGTTGCTTGGTCTAAAGATTGGAGAGAGACCGTGAAGGGAGACCTTTTGATGGAGAGAGGGACACAGAAGACAGTAGCAACTGAAGAGCCGGTCTAGGGCCCTTTCTCTCATCTAGGGAACCCTTAAGAGGGAGGCACGATAGGGCAGCCAGTCATGCACTCACCCATCCATTCACCCATTCATCCATCCTTTCACCCTTCCCATCCATCCAGCCATCCAACCACCTACTCATTCATACATTCATCCTTCTATGCACCTACCCATCAGTCAGTCTTAATGTTTGCCCATTTGCCTATTCATCCATCCTCCGACCCTCCCCATTCATCCGCCCACCCAATCATCCAACCACTCACGACACCTTCCCATCTAGCCACTTACCCTCAGAATTTGTGTTCCACTCCACAAGCCTTCTTCTCTCTTGCTTCTCTGACCCTCTCTGACTCCACCCCCAGGTGGGCTGGTGTTGTTTGGAATCTGCACTCTCGTCATGGATGTCTTCAAGACTGGCTACTACTCCAGTTTCTTTGAGTGCCAGTCAGCCATCAAGATCCTGCACCCCCTCATCCAGGCTGTGTTCGTCATTGTCCAGGTGGGCAGGACTCAATGTCCCTGAGTGTGACAGAAAGGAGCCAGAAGACCTGAGCTTTCCCTCCCTGAGCAACTTGGTGGGAAAGGACCGTAGTAGGGATCCCATGAGTTCATAGTGAGGAAGCACCATGAACCTCTGGGTAATGAGGTAATATCTAAATGTGAGCTCCCACCCTAAGCAGTGCCGATAGTCAACACCTAGGAAGCGTGAGTTGAGACAGCTGGCCCTGCCCGCTACAACTTGGTCTGCCCTCCTCGAGGGCCCTTGGAGGCCATCAGTCTCAGTCCAGGGCATGCTGAGGACAGGGCAAGATTGGCATCAGTGTGGCTCTATAGTTGGTATAGGTGGGGGGGTATTCTATCACTGAGATTTTCTAAACAGGTTCAATTTCCTTTGTAATCGGTGGCCTAAACACCATTTTGAAAGACCGTCTGACTGAGCTGAGCCGAGACTGGTCCTACACGGGCTCTAAGAGACCATAGCTCTGTAGCATGATGGAGTGGCCACAAGGACTGTGCCCTGCCCTGAAGCACCACCCTGCTGCCTAGGTGTCCACAGTTCGACACATGTGTGACCTTGGCACTCGTACAGTTTTAGTTTTTTACATTTCGTGAGTTTGAAGAACAGTCAGGAAAAATGAAACCACAGAACTCCCACATCAAGTCTCCTAGCAGTGATTCACCTGCAGCCAGAGGAGGACAAGGCAGGGGATGTGGTCAAGAGCAGTGAGAAGTCACCGGAGACCTCTTCTGCCTTACAAAGACCTAGTGTGAGGCTGGCCCTGCTCCCAGGAATAAATAACAAGGTAGCCAAAGATCTTTCTGGCCCTCACTACCCTCTCCCCAAAGAACTCACCCAAACCAGACTTATTTTGTTTTTGTTTTTTTGTTACCAGGGATCGAACTCAGGACCTTGCATTTACGAGGCAGGCAGCAGAACCACTGAGCTAAATCCCCAGCCTTAGAATTTTACAGCTGACATTTTGCAAACCTTTAAAGAACTGAGAACCACTACTGTTGTACAAGCAGTACCATAGAGTAGAAACAGAAAATGTTCCCAATCTCCTTTTGCAAAGCTAAAATGAACCAACTCCTTTAAAAGAAGGTCCACTGGTGTGGAGAGGCCATAACCCTGGGCGTGGACACGGGCTCCCTGGAGTTTAGCCCACTTGCAGAATAATGACCCTCCCTCCCTCTCTCAACAGACTTACTTTCTCTGGGTCTCTGCCAAAGACTGCATTCACGTCCACCTGGATCTGACCCGGTGAGAACTACAGCTCAATGTCTGTGCCCAGCCTGCCACCTGAGAGCTGTCTAGCCTAAACGTGGCTCCTCCCTCCGCCTCCTGGGTGGGGTTCCTGCCAAAGTCCTTAATTTGTCAGCCTGATTCCACTACACTGTACCCTCCTCCTTTCATGTGTGTGGGAAGGGGCCCAAGCCTCCAGAAACCCCTGTTCCTCTCTCAGTTGTCATCCTGGCCTTCCAAACTCAACTCTCCTATTCACAAGGGCCTGGCTGCCTTCTACCTTCTCAACACCATCTCTCGGGAGAGCTCCCTGATCCCTCCACCTCACTGGGGACCCAAGATGAACCAAAGACTCATGGGCCTCTTGGCCTCCCTCAACCCCCAAACAGATGTGGACTCATGTTCACGCTCACCACCAACCTGGCCATCTGGATGGCAGCCGTGGTGGATGAATCCGTGCACCAGGCCCATTCCCACAGCAACATCAGCCACACACGCCTCAGCCCTGACGGTGAGTTCCCCCTTAACCCTGACCCTGTGGCTGCCGTGCCTTGGGCTGGATGCTTTGTGGATTTGTAGTCAGGCAACTGTGCTGTCACCAGGGCATGGAGGCAAAGATGGAAGCTAGGGCCCTCTTCCCACTCTAGGCTCTGCCTCAGACATATGGATGAAGGGGACAGGAGAGAGGATACTGGGGGCATCTTCTCATCCTCGAACGTTCAGCCACAGTCCAGGTTTCCACCCCAGCAGGAAGGGACCCAGGCTCTTGGAAGAAAGGGGAGGAGGAGGGGTAAGGGAGGCAGAGTGGCTCCAAAGCAGAAGTCCGGGGTCAGAGGAGAGAACCTGGGAAGGAAGAGAAGGTGAGAAATAACCATCCCATCACAATGATAATAGCGACAGTTTTACCAAGCCCTATCTGTCCCTAATAATAGTGTCTTATTTAACCCTCACACCGTCCCTTGGAAGTGGATCTTATTAGTATTCCTAGTCTAGAAATGTAGAAATGAAGGCATGGAGGGCTTATGTAGCTTACTCAAGGTCCTAGAGACTGAAATGAGAAGACTAGTGCTCAGATCCATCTTTGCTTTTGACCAGTGAGCACACTGGGAAGAAGAGGGTCCGTAGGCTCCAGGTCCCATTAGGGCCCCCACACACACATTAGGTGAAACCAGAGGCTAAGACACCAGCACACATCTGCATGGAAGGCGGTGGTACAGACACAGAAAGTGTGGCCCCAGCTGCTGAGGACAGCCCAGCCCCGCAGGACTGATAAAGGGCCACCTTGTATGTCTAGAGTGTCCTGAGGGGATTAAAAGCAGCCAAGGCAAGAGGTCAACCCGATTCGGTGGGTCCTCCACAGTGGGTCCACTCTCACAGTAAGAGAGACCCACTAACACAGGCCCTGCCTTGGGGTTAGAAGTCAAGCCACTTGCTTTAGCTCTCCCATTCCAAATCCTTTTACCTCCTTGAACCTCAGCTTCTTTGTCTGCAAATCCATCTGGGATAGATCTGGGGTCAAAAGAGATCTTTGTCAGGGCCCATGCCATCCTACAAAGCACACTCTGGATTTCAGTCCAGATTCCTTCTGGTAGCCAGCTATGGTGGGGCACACCTGTACTCGTAGCACTGAGAGGCTGAGGCAGGAGGAATGCAAGTTTGAGACCAGCCTGGGCAACTCAGTGATTTAATGAGACCCTGTCTCAAGATTTTTAAAAAATTGAAAGGGATGAGGATGTAGCTCAGTGTTAAGGCCCCAGCTTCAACCCCCAAGGCGTGAAAAAACATTCCTTTCAGTGTGGTACAAACCACAGGGAGATCACAGTAGAGACGGGAACAGCAGCTAGCTTTCTGGACAAAGTCAGGTGCCAGGAAAAGCTTTGGGGAAGCCTGAACTTTAGGGGATCCCAAGAGGGCCACCTTCAAAGAGGACTAGAGCTTGTCTTCCTCGGGGAGCCAGATGTCATTATGAATGGGAAGGAATTGAAGGAATGAAAGGGGGTGAGGTGGAAACTTCTGTGATTTTGTTTTGTTTTAATTGAGCATCAATGTTTCTCATAGACTCCGGCACATAGTAGGTGCTGAATAAATATTTGTAGAATGAATGAATGTGCCAAGCCCTGTGAAGGCATTTGGGCTACTAGCAGAGAGAGACCCACCCTTACAAAGGTCACAGGCTGGCACAAAAGAGCAGCCTAGCCCTGTGTCCTCTCTCCGCAGTCGAGCGTGCAAGCAGCTCCAGTGGGGGAGACGCCTGCTCCTGCAACACAGCCATCTGTCAGATCTTTCAGCAGGGTTACTTCTACCTGTATCCTTTCAACATCGAGTACAGCCTCTTTGCCTCCACCCTTCTCTATGTCATGTGGAAGAACGTGGGCAGGCTGCTGGCCGCCACCCACGGCCACAGCCACACGCCATCCCCAGCCAACCTTTTCCGGGAGACCTTTTTTGCAGGCCCAGTCCTGGGCCTAATACTATTTGTGGTGGGCCTGGCCGTCTTCATCCTCTACGAAGTCCAAGTGAGTGGGGAGGGGAGCCACACCCAGCAAGCCCTGGTCACCTACTACAGTTTCAACATTGTCTGTCTGGGGCTCATGACCTTGGTCAGCCTGAGTGGCTCAGTCATCTACCGTTTTGACCGCCGGGCCATGGACCACCATAAGAACCCCACACGTACCCTGGATGTGGCCCTGCTGATGGGCGCCGCCCTGGGCCAGTATGCCATCTCCTACTACTCCATTGTGGCCGTGGTGGTGGGCACGCCCAGGGACCTGCTGGGGGCGCTCAACCTGGCCCATGCTCTGCTCATGATTGCCCAGCACACCTTCCAGAATGTGTTCATCATCGAGAGCCTCCACCGGGGACCGCCTGGGGAGGAGCCTCGGGAATCTCCCCCCAAGGAACCCTGCCAGGGCCTTACCTTTGCCAACCTGGATGCCCTCCACACCTTGCCGGCCTGCCCGTCCACCCCCACGCTGGTCAACCCCAGCCCGGCAGGCCCTCAGGAAGCAGTGGCCATCATCTTGGCACCCAGAGGCCACTGGAGACGCCGGTGCCTAAAAGACATTTCTCTGTTTCTTCTGCTCTGCAATGTCATCGTGAGTAACTGGGGAAGAGGTGATGGGCACAAGAGGGGGGTGAGGAAGGGTGCTTCTGTGAGTCTGTCCGTTCAGCCTCGCCTGCCTCACCTGGCATGCTCGAGGGACTTCCAGCTCTCTAGGAAAGGAGTGGGCCAGAGAAGGCCAGCTGAAACCCTCGGGCAAACAGCATCTCAGGGCACACAGAGAGAGTAAAATCCCAGCTTCTGGCCTGTAGGCAGCAGACAGAGCTGGCGGGATCCCAGGGAAGGCTGACATGGGGGGTAGGGTGGAGGCAAGAGGGAGCTGAGAACTGATATGGAAGGTGTGACTGCTCCTGGGAACTTGTGACCTGCCTGCTTCTCAGAATAAGTGGAGCAGCATCAGGAAGTAACTGAGACCCGTGTGAGTGTGAGCATTCTGCTAAGGGAGTGCATTGGTAGGCTGGCTGGAAGTGGGGTGCGGATGACGGCCTCCCCCTCCTCAGTGATTTAGCAAAGTCCACGCTAAGAGCAACAGACTTCACCTAGTGCAAATATGCTACTCCCGGTGGAAGTACCTGGGGCAGAAACCCTCATGAAGAAAGTACACCCCAACTTGGAAACATTCCTAGCATAGCTACAACCTGATATAGACATGCTCCAGCATAGAAATGATCTCCGGTACAGAAATCTCTACTATAGAAACACATACCCATGTGGGTACCCTCTGTATCTGCTGGTTGCAGAGCCCAGGATTTATCCAAACCTCCGATGGAAAAATAGTATTACTTCCTTAAAAATATATAGTGCAACTGCTATTTGTATAGCAACTACATTGTCTTACATGTTAGGAGTACAAGAATTAAAGAGAATTTAAAATTTTAAAGTATGCGGGAAAAATACACAGGTTAGTATGCAAACATCTTATATAAAATGTTTGCACATCCTTGGATTTTGTTATCCATCTGAAACAAATCCCCTACGTATACCAAGGGACCACTGAGAATCCCAAATAGGAAACAAACAAAACTTTCAATGAAAATGGACTCAGTATAAAGGCAGTCCTTTAAACTGCACCCTGCAATAAAAGAATATCCCTAATTCAGACACATCCTTAATAGGAGGTGTCCTGAGGCCTGGGGTGTAGCTTATTCATAGAGCACTTACTAGTGTTGTGAAGCCCTGAGTCGGATCCCTGGCATCACAGAAAAATACGTGCATGGGTTCAGCCCAATATAGAACACCATGTGCAGAGTGAATTCTATCCCACGAATTCTAACTGTGTGAAAGACACCAGCAACCCTGAGACACATTCTTAGAGAAGTCTCATTATGAATGTTGCCCATCTGACAGGTCACGGCCCCCGATAGGTAAGACACGACCCCATGCAGGAGCCTTCCAATAGTCAGTTTCAGCTTTAAAAAAAAATGTAGTCACCAATCTCATCCTACGAGTGGAAACGCTAAGGCTCAGAACTTCACTATGTAACATGTCTGGGCCCGGCTTTTATAAGGAGAGGTGGGCTGCTCTGCCCCCACATACCTTCTGCCCAGATCCGGCTGATAGGCTGGTAGCCACCGTTCAGGAGGCTGCTTTTACTGCAGATAGGTGAGCATGAATCATTCTGACAGCACCATCCTCACTTCCTTCATTTCACGGGACAGAACAGGCTGGGGGAGGGGGGTGGCTATGACGTACTCGAGGATGCAGTTAGTTAGGGCAGGGATGGTGGTGGCCCAGAAGCCTTTATCCTTTTCTTCATACTCCTCACCCAAATGGAGCCCCTCGAGCTCCCAGGCAGAGGTGATGCAGAATTCTAGTTTCACCTCCTCCTGGAGCTGAGAAGCGGGCAGGGAGTGGGCATGGAGTGGGATAGCAGAGTTCATGGAGGCTGAAGGTGTGGCCTCCTGGTTGGGCCCTGAACCCTCTTCCTTGGGCCTCACTGATTCTTACCAGCTGCAGATCCAGCTGTTTGAACCAATTTCTTACATCATCTGTTGAAACTTCCATCCCACAGGTGCAAAAAAAGAAGGGAGAGGTGACCACAGACAGAGCCTGAGGCTAGGAGTAGACTAGTTTAGTTGGGCACTCTTTCTGAGCTCCTTAGAGAGTGCCAGTCTCTGTGCAAGATGCTGGAGGTCACCATTCAGTGACACTCAATGATCAGTGTTTACTGAACTAGACTGCTGGGGTCCGCATCGTGTCCCAAACCAGAAAAGCACCCAAAGAGTTGAAGGTTTGTTCCAGGCAGATTCCTGATGCTCCAATCTCCCCACACAGCTGTGGATCATGCCCGCCTTTGGGGCCCGGCCCCACTTCAGCAACAAAGTGGAGGTGGAGTTCTACGGCTACTCCCTCTGGGCAGCCATCGTCAACATCTGCCTGCCTTTCGGCATTTTCTACCGCATGCATGCTGTCTCCAGCCTGCTGGAGGTCTATGTGCTGTCCTGAGGCCTTGGACAGAGACACGGGGGTGAGGGTCAACTTGGCTCATGGGCCCACTCAGTTGAACCCCTGGGTGGAAGATATAGTGCCACAATACCCACGTTGCCCACTGGCCCCAGAGTGGAATTTTCTCAAGAGTTTATTTTTTCAGGATGAGTTTTTAAATCGCAATCTGGATATTGCCCATCCACCCCAGCATAACCCTAGTCACCTGGGGTGACTTGGGAAGGGAAATCTTTCCCCAAAGCTTTCCTAGGACCTAGAAGGGTCTGAAAGCATGGGATTGGCTCTGTGAACCCTACTCTCATGGCCTGGCCAGTGCACTGTCTGGAACTGGGAATCAATAAAACCTCGATTCACCCCCTGTCCCCTCTTCTTGTCTCAGTGCTCCATCTGAGGTGGTCATGGAGAGAGACCTGGCAGTCAGAACCAGAAAAGTCCAAAGATTTTCAGGCCTCATGCTTTTCCATGGGTGAGCTGGGTCTGCAGTGCACACTGTCTATACAGTAGGTAACCGGGTGATTGGGAGTAGATGTGTGGATGGAGTGTGGATGAAGTACTCGAGCTGCCACCTTCCTCCAGATGTCACACATGTACTCATACTGTTATGTGTCCCGTGACAACAAAAGTTAGGAAAGACTGATCTAGTGCAATATTCACAGTTTACAAGGGAGGAATCTGAGAGCCAGAAAAGTAAAATGACTTGCCCAAGACAGCCACAGACAGCCTGAGCCTTTCTATGAAGAATAATTGCCTTCAAATTTGTTAAAGAAATAGCAGAGCTTTTTATTAATATATTTAAAAGTTGGCACATAGTAATTTGTACATAATTATGGCATACAATGTGGCATTTCAACACATGTATACAATGTGTCATGATCAGATGAGGGTAATCAGCATATCTATCATCTCACCCCAAAAATCATTTCTTTGTGTTGGGAGCATTCAAAATCCTCTCTTCGCAACTCAGAAGCATCCAGTGAATTGCTGTCAACCAAAGTTACCCTACTGTGCTACAGAACACTGGGAGTCGTTCCTCCTCCTGTCCAACTGCACCAGGCCCAATTGCACCTAGAAATGCAACATCCTGAGGCCTGGGATTCAGGCCACACTTTCCTCTGGTCCCCCTCCCCTATGCCCATTAACCACAAGCAGCAAAACTTTCTATCATCAAAAAATATTACAAGAGTGCACCAGGGGCTTAACTCAGTGGCACCATGCCTGCCTGGCAAGGTCCTGAGTCCAATCCCCAGTACCAAAAAAAAAAAAAAAAAAAAAAAAAAAAAAAAAAAATCAAGAATTTTAGGAGCCCATACCATAGATACAAATATGGGATGATTCTAGTTAAAGACAGTTTGGGGAACTCAGATCCTTACTCCCTGGGCTGCTCTTTACCCACCAGTGTCCGGGCTGGGGGGTCCCTGAAGAGCTGCACCTTAGGGCTTCTCCTCTGCCAAAGGCATAGAGATGGACTTGGAGGGAGGGAGACAGAGATAAAGGGGCCAGAGATGGGGCAGAAGCTTCGCAGACAGCCAGGAGCAGAGCAGGTGGTCAGTGGGAGGAGGGGTTAGGCCGGGACTGGGCTGTGGACCAGGGTGGGAGCACGTGGCATTTTGGGGAGCAGTCTGGGTATAGTGACATCTTAAACCCAGAGGACATCAGGGGAAAGCTGTCATACTGTCAGCAGCATGAGGTCTGTGGGATCAGAGGCCACAGGGGAAACTGAGGCAAGCCAGAGAGAGCTGACTGCCTTCCTCTTCTTCAGGATGAGGCCTTAACCCCATCTCTTCAGCCCCAAGTTCATGTTTGATTTAAAGGACAGTCTGGTGATAGATACAGGAAAGACGACCCCAGACCAGGAAGGGAAGGGGGGCCAGGGGAAAGTGCAGCCTGAACCCCGGGCCTCAGGATATTGCATTTCCAATCTACTCACTCTGAGGGCAGGCCGCCAGCCAGCGCAGAGCCAGTCCACCTGCTGGGGACCCTGACCGCGCCCCCATCACCCCGTGAGCGCCGGTACCGCCCCCAGCCCCGCCCACCTGCCCAGCCACCTAGCCATTGGCTGCTGGCTCTGGGCCCGTGCCCCGGCGGGGTAATTAACGAGGGATTAATGAGATTCCCAAAGTCAACAGAAAAATCGATGGGTCGTGGAGCCCGAGCGGCGGCTGCACAGTCCAGCGGGGGGAGGGCGTCGGGGGCATCGGTCGGGGGCACTGGAGCCTCACAAGGACTGACGGACTGCGCAGCACTCAGCTGGTGGTCAGCCGGCCGCGATGCCCTCCCAGGTCCCAGGTAAGGATCCCCGCACCGCCTCTCTGACCTGGAGTGGTCCCGGACCGCAGGGAGAACATACATTCCCTCAAGCCTCCCCCAAGACACACACACACACACACACAATGCTTCCAGAGCGGGAGTTCAGGAGCTAGGGGTTGCAGGGACTAGTGGAAAAGGGCAGGTGACCAGCAAAAGGTTAACTCTAGTCCGGTGCCTGACTCCTTCTCTGCACCGCCGCCGGCCTCTACTCACCTCCTTTCCACCGACTGGGGGAGGACGTAGGTCAGCAGGGCGCACCCTGTACCGGCCAGATCCACACAGCCGAAAGGGGGCTCCGAGCCGGGGAAGAAGCGAGAAACCTGGATGGCTGATTAAAGGGGTACGGGGCTGGTCCTGCAGTCCCTCAGATGGCTCGCGAAGGAATTCTGAAGCTGCTCTGCCCTCGCTCAGCAGCCTCCGCCCGAGCTTGTTCTGCGCTTCCGGACGCGCCCTGCGCCCCAACGACGGCTCCTCGGCTTTCATCGCCCGCCTCTAACCTCGATCCATAAACCAGTTTTTGTCCCGGCCCTCCCTTGTCTGGCGACGCATGGCGGTGCCAGGCCAGGCGGACAACCTGTCTGTGTCAGGCGCGTTCTCCCCCAGCGCTCTTCCAAGACCCCCAGGGTGCCCACTCCAACCCCAGCCCTGCGGTGAAACTAAACCATCCCCTCGGTAGCTCCCTAGCGCTTCTGGAGGGTTGGCCCTCAGAGGTGGAAGGTCAAAAAAAGTGTCAGAGGGGAATGAGAGTACCTGGAACCTTGCTCCAGTGTCCCCTCTAGGCCTGCAATCTGACAAAAATCGTCCCTGAAATTCACCAATAACCCCTGCCCTTCCCTCCTCTTCAGGACTTCCTAAGAACTGGAGGGGAAATGCACAAATGGCCAACACGGGCTGCTCTATCCACTTGTGCATGTCAAATCGTATAAATCTGACAAAACCCTATAAGGCAGGTATCATGCATTAATTCATTTATTTGTTCAAGAAATTACCAAGCATCTCCTAGTACTAGGCACTACCATTCCATAGTTGCATATTTGTTTACAGCACGGAGGCACAGAGAGCCTGAGTAGCTTGTCACAAAAGTTGTACTACAGCAAATGCCAGAAGCAGGGCTCTTAACCATCAGAGTAGCCTGATTGTGGGGTAGGGCAGGGACAGGTTCTGGGGAAGGTGAGGTGGAGCCACCAGGCTGGCGGAAAAGGAGCAAAGAGGTGTCCCTCTGAGCCTCAGCCTTACTACAGTCTGGGAGAGGAAGCCTGGTAGGAGAAGATACAGATCTGGAAAGCCTCCTCCTCCGGGCCAGGATGGAAAGGGTTAAGAGGAAGGGTCTCTGTCCACCGCTCTGGTGCTGAAAGTTCCTCGGAGACCGCCACAATCAATGAGCAAATATAGGGAAAGTACTGCCCTGCCAATGCAAGACTTGAGGGGTCCGAGTTAATCAGGACCAGATCTCGGCCCTGGAGGAGCTCCTGACCTTGAGGGGAGCCAGCCACGACCACAGTAAGCCTGACAGCACACACCCACTCTCAACAGAGAGGAGTGACCACAGCAAAGTCACCACCATCGTGCTTCGTGCTTTGGCAGAGAGGGAAGGCTGCCCGGAGGCAAAGGGGATGGAAAGAGTTATTGGAGGGAAATGATGGCTGAGATAGAAGGGAGAGCAAAGCTGGCAGGGGCCAGGAGACCACGGGGGAAATGTGGAGTCCTCTCCTAGGTCTGGTGCCCAGAGTTTGCCCCAGGACGGCAAGGTAGACTGGGAAAGTGGTGAAAATCATTTGTAAACCTCAAAAAGAGGCCCAAGGTTTAGTACTCCATTTGTTCCAGGAGAACAGCAAAAGGTACAAATATTGCTCACAATATATATGCAGGAGAGGGGGATCTAGAGAGGACAGTTAAGAGCCCAGTGTGATGATGGGCTCCTGGTGGTTGAGTAGAGGAAACTTTCAAAGCTCAGGGTCTTGAGGAAGGGACAGAGCAAAGCACAGCTAATTAAGTTAGAGCCTGCTGGGCGATACACCAGCAATGGTCCAGAGGGGACCCTCACCCAGGATGGACAGGGGAGTTAGGGAGGATCATTAGTGCTAAACGGGTCTCTGCTGAGTCCTAAAGGACACACTAGAGTCACCAAGAGACAAGAGGGGTGGACATTCAAGTAAAAAATGGGGATGTAGGCAAAGCAAGTAAGTGAGCCAAAGCACAGGGCATTCTGGGAGCTGCAGCAGGATGGCACAGCTGGGGAGGGGAGTGGAGCCTGGATACTACACTGGGGAGGTAAATCAAGGCCAGAGCAGGAGGTAGCAGCAGCCATCCTGCCCTGAGCACTGTGTGGACCAGGCCCCTGCATGCATGTCCATCTTGTTTCATTCTGAAAGGCCACACAGACCGTGCAGCAGGTGCTTTGGACTTACATATACTGAAGGTAGCTGGATGTCTTTGCAGAGCTCTCAGGAGGAGACAGCATCATGGGGAGGGATTCCAGTTCAGGAGAGAGTGGAGGGAGCCCTAACTAGAATGATGGCTGATGTTGAAAAAAATCTAAGAGCAGTTTGGAAGCTGAAATGGACAGGCTTGGACTGCAGGGGATGCAAAGGACAAAGGGAAAAGTGAGGAAGGTACTTGGTTCTCTACCTGGAGAATGGGCAGTAAGCACATGGAACCCTGAACCCTGGGGACCTGAGTTTGATCCCTGGTATCAAAAATAAGATAAAATAATTTCAATTACATAAATAAAGCTATTTTTAAAATACTAGAACATTAAACCTAAAGAGAATCT